TTGACTGGTGATTCCATACCGTGATGGAAAGATTGCTGTCCAGAGTCTGGCTCAAGTAGGGCTCTACAGGAATGAAGGAAAGAACTTTCCAGAAGTTAAGAAAGACAACTTGAGATGGCTGAAGGCCTGTTTTGGAGATAAGAAGGAATATATCCCCTGAGAGTAAGACCAGGATCCATAAGTGAGTGTTGCATGGAGACAGATTCAGGTTACAATGAAGGAGAGTTTCTCTGTCTGATGCTGGGTGATAGTTTAAGACATCAACAAGCAAGTGCCCAGGACATTCAAAGTGGTGCCTGCAGAAGAGATACAGGGTCAATCAGTGCTGTATCTGCCCCTCTTATTTTATCTGCCTTCCCTCCTTACTGACCTTGGTGCCTATTCTCAATGTCATTGCCCTTGGTTCTCCTTGGGGACTTCACATAGTTGATGCGAGCGGCCTGTCTGCTGCCCCAACTCTTTTACACCTAATGGATGCTCTCTGCTTCTACAAAGGACCCCATCAAGAGTTGGATGATAATCAGGCCAACGCTAGGTAGACAGTAATAGTAAACTCCCAGGATCCCCAGCAGTGAAATAGCCTGGAGAGTGAGCTTCCCATCAGGAGCAGCATCCAAGGTGAGGCTGGGGTGGGGGGGCACCAGACAGCCCTCCTAGGCCCAACTCCTATCACTGGGTATCTGCCCTGGGGGGTGTGCCAGAGGAAACCACCCACTGTCCTAGACAAGAAAACTGCTGAGAGTCCGTACTGCCCCATGATCATCATGTTCTGAAATGGGATTTCCCATTCGATGATGAAGAACAACTAAAGAATATGGCCCGCCTTTTCAGATGCCAGTCAGCCCAGAGAAACGGACAAGATAGACTTCCTGCTTTGATATGATGATTCATAATTGTAACAAGAGTAACAACAGCAGCAACAAATAATAATGATTTGTTTCATTATAAGCATCTAAAGAGCATTTTGAGCTTTCCGAAGCACTTTGATGTACATCATCGCATTTGCTCCCTGGGCCTGTGTCTCAGGAAGGATGGTGAATGATTAAATGGAGCAAAAGGAACAAAATGATGAATGGAAAAAGTAAATGAATGGAGCATCTAGAGAGAACATCATAAAGAGAATTAAATTGCTTTCATCAGCACCAGGAAGTCTCTCTGATTCTGAAATCCAGGTGCAATCAGATAATTCTCACAGCAGAGGGACAGGTAATCTGTTGGTCTCACCTGCTCTCCACGTTCACATGTACCATCGCCGGCCGCACAGCTTCGCCTCACGCAGAACGGATGCAGACCTAAATGCACTCCCTTGCCCCTAGATCATCTTTTGTGTTTCCCACCCCAGAAAATGGCTCTACACTCATCGCTCAGTCATTCCCAACCAGAAGCCTGGGAGTCTCCGCTTTGCCTCTCTTCTCCCATCCGCACCTTCCCAGATTCCCACCTGACAGTCTGTCCAGGCTCTGACTTTGGCTCAAAGTCTGGCTCTGAACTCCAGATCGTTGGTCTGGGATGCTGCCAAACTCTTATTGATGACGTCTACCCTTAAGGGTTGGACCTTGCCAGTGCCCTGATGGTGACCGGGAAAAGCCATAACGCATCCCCAACCCCAACTGCCCTTCCTGAACTGGCCTCCCTCTGGCAACTTTCTGGGCTAAATCTGAACTAGTAGCTTTTTGCTGCAAGCCCCTGCCTACTTTTAGCATGTCCTTCCTCAGCCAGCCACTGCCACCTGTGCCTAACAGAGAGTCTGGCTCATGGAAGTGATTCAGTGGGTGTCTGGTGGAAAAGGCTGTTGTTGCAGTGCAAGGCAGCCATTCATTCTCAGCTGGTCTCCACGGTGACCAATCTCCCTATCACCCAACCCCACACTCAGGTGGATACTTGCCGGGGAAACTCCATTAGCCCATATACTGGGGAGTCCCTTAGGCCAAAAGGCTTAGCTCTAAGCATTTAATTGTCTTGTAACCTTGGTTTGATGATTCTGAACCTTAGTTTTCCTCCCACCTACCTCTCAGAGTTGCCTCAAGGGCCAAACAATAGAATGGGCATTCCCAGAGCGGCGTGTTGGTGGGTCACTGGTGGCTGTGGAATATGGGTGTGCATCAGCATCCCCCAGGGGATTATTAAACCATAGATCTCTGGGCCCCAATCCAAGAACTTCTGAATCATTGGGTCAGGGGGAGGCCTGAGAGTCTGCATTTCTAATGTGTTCCCAGGGGTGCCAGTGCAGCGGGTCTGGGGACCACATTTTGAGAACCACCGCTCTAGGTCATTCTAAGAACATTGCTCTTCCCACACCAGCCCTGTTCTCCTCCATGAAGTCTGGTGCTTCAATACTCGACTTTATGTTTATGTGTTACTCTTCATGCTGTTTTGTGGGAATCTTAACCCAGCCTGTAAATTCCTCTGGGCAGAAATTAAACCTTGCATACTCCACGCTCTCTCATTTTCTGTTTTGTAAAATAATGAGTACATTTTCAGTGCAATTAATAATGAATAGGGAAAGGGTGGGAGGACTCCGACTACCAACCCCAATAAACAGCATCCACAAATGACTATCAACTTTGGAATTCTCTTAGAAGTTAATTACAAGGCAAAGAACATTCTATTATCAGTGGTAATGTGGGAAAGATTACCTTCTTGATGATACATTTTATAAAATGTGGGTTATTGAAGATTTTAGTCAAAACTTAAACATCAACATTTTCTTAAATATAAAACCACAAACAGCATTTCAACTCATAATTTTTATAGTGATAGTCAGACAATTGTGTTTTCAACATGTAAAATCCATTACACGGTCATGGCAACAATTTTCAATAGATCGTAAATTTTTATTGAGATGATCATCTTGCGATTGAATTTCAAAATGCATTATAGGATCATCAGCAATAAGTCCATGGGGGCTCATACAGTACTCTGAATATCATTCATAAAGATCAAAAACCCTGGAAACTCTTAGATTTACCCCGTGGAAAGAGGAAAGTCTCATCAGCAGGATCGAATCAATTATTTTTATGGATGGATATAGAATTGCAAAGCTGAGATAAGGTAGTACTTGATTTAATAACATATCTTATGTCCTTTTAAAGTGGTAAGTTTCATAATCAGGTTTCAATGAGGAATTTTACCAAAGGCCCCAGTTTTGAAAATAATCAAGAAAACGGCATCTCTCTCTATCATAGTGTTTCAATAACTTTCAAAGGAATATTCCCGAGCAATGGAAATACTAACTTTGGGTCACATGGTGCCAAGATACACTACTGAGATACTTTAGAATGGTTATTGTCAATTTCTCTAGACTCTTGTCTTGGCAACATGAATGCATTCCATCATGATCGGCATATTAGGAAACGCTCTGAGCATGACACAGATTTCACACTTGCAGTGTGGTTTTGTACAAGTGAGGCAGAAAACTGCGCCCAGTTGAACTGAGCCACACTGAAGACACACAGAGCACCCACCCCCAGTAGCTACCTGCTCCCTCTGTTCACCGCATCTGTTACGAGCCACACCCCTGCACGCCCGGTGCTGTGACTCTCCCCCACTGTCAGACAGCCCCCCTTCACTATTTCATAGCACCTTACAGGCTGCAACCTTCCTGATGCCCACGTCCACAGGCAAACGTCAGGACTTTTTAAGGTAACACACCATATGTATTGCCATTTTTATACACATCTTGGGCATTAACATATGTTAAGACTGTGCTACCATTGTTACTAGGTTTCTCTCTTTTTCTTTTCTCTTATGTGTCACTGATGAAGTACGAGTGTTGTGCCTCATGAGCCCAGGGGTTTTATTGCATAACTTTTCCTAGTGCAGTGACTCTTCGGAACACATTTGTCATATTATAGTGGAACTGACTCTATTTTACTTTGCTTTTTGTTCCACGGTGGTCACTGTGCTGATGGGTCTTCCTGTCCCCACCCTTTCCCTGCCATGGCTTCCCTGATCCCCCAGTGAGACACCCCCCGCTGCAGGGGGCACACACCCCTCTGTCTGCTCATCCCAGTGTGACCAATGAGCAAGGACATGCGAGTCAGGTACAAGTCCTGACTGTGCCATCGGCCAACGTTACGACTTTAGACAAAACATTTAAAAATAATGAGTCTCCATTCACTTATGTATATGAGATCGAAATACTTATACTGAAAGGTTACACAGAGGGGAAACATGAGATAACAAATAATGTGATTTGGAAAAAAAAAAGAACACTGAGTTCTTTTAATTTCTTGAGCTGCATTCAGAGCTGGAACATCTCAGGGACATAGTTAGAGACATACTCTCAGCCAACACCCCTAATTAGCAACTCCAGAGAGACCTGGAGCCCTCAGGGACATAGCTGGGTCCAAATAGCCCTCCCAGCCCCAGTCCCAGCCAGCAAAGTCGTACGCAGCATGCAGAACCACAGAGAAACAGCAGGAGCCAAGGATGCCCAGGGAACACTGATCCAGGAGGTAGTAGGGACAGGGAATCCAGAGGACCCTCAGAGGGTCAGTCCCAACCCAGGCTCTTAGGTAGTAGCCAGGAGCCCCCAAGGGACAGGGACCCAGGAGGCTCTTGTGACGAAACAGCTCCAGAATCCACTGAGAGACACTTTCAGAGCCAGGAGCCCCTCAAAGACAAAACTGGAACCAGGAACCCTTGGGGGAAACTGTCAAAGCCAAGAACTCATGAGGGCCCTCGGCCCAATGCAGGGATCCTCAAGGACATAGCTAAAGTCAGAAACCTTAGATACAGAACAGAAACCAGAAGCATTCAGAGGTCAAGTCCTAGTGAGACCTTCAGGGCACACAGTCAGATCCAGGAGGTCTGCAAAGATGCCACCAAAGCCAGAAGGTCCTCTCAGGCCAGGACCAGATCCCTGGTTGTTTTCCTGCACAACAGGACACACATTCATATCAAGAACCTTGAGAAACACTTGTCACGGAAAGCCAAAAGGAGGATCACTCACGGTGATGGCCAGACTCTGCAAATACGGTCAGGAAGGAGGCTCTTACCTGCGCACTTGGTCCTGGTGGTGAGCGGAGGCCCAGGTGGTCCTGTGCCCCCCTCTCCTGGCCTTGTGAGTAGAACCCGTATCTCATACTCCACGTCAGGGTCCAAGTGCCACAGCTTATAGTTGGGAGAGTCAACTATGTGGGTCTCGGCCCAGGTGCCGGTGGTGGTGCGGTATTCCACCTCCTTCAGGATGATGGGGCCGTCCCCGATGATGGAGTTGGCATTGGGCTTGATCCACAGGTATGTGGCCCCCACGGCCAGCAGCTCTGGGGGCGCGATGGGGGTAGGAGGCTCTGAAAGACAGACAGAGACAAATGTAAGGCACACGTGGTTCACAGAGCAGAATCTAAGCACGTGAGGAAAAGGGACAGGATTCCAGACAGAGCCATAACAAAACAGCCCGAATCCCATTTTAACCCCGTTCATGTCTTACTGTAATTTTCACCTTTTTGCACATTAAGAGCCCAAATCAGGATTTCTTCAGTAACTATATTTAATACTACTGTATCCCTTTCATTTAAAGGGAAGAGAGAAGGCAATTGTGAGAAAATGGTTTATCCAGAACCCAGCAAAGCTGTCTGAGTTAATATTCTGCTTTCCGTCCTCAAATGAGAACCTGTCTTTACTGGAGTGCAGTTTGGTTCAAACGCCAGGGGAGCCCGACGTTTACAAACAGTTCTTTGATAGGAATAGGTAGACTGCCAGCGGAAGTTCTCCCAAAGAGTGACTGGAGCCAAAGTAGCCAAAGGATGATGGCACCAGGAAGAATTCCGCTTCATCCTCTAGCAGGTTCCTCCAGCAGGGGCAGCGTCACTGGCCATAGCACCCCCAGTGGAAGTCAAGGGTCAAAGGTCAAGTCATGCCAAGTTATACTGCATTGGTTACCTGTTGCAACCCCTCTTCCACTAAGTTCTCTATCTTCAGCTAAATCGACCAGGCTTTCAACAAACATTTATGGTCACCTCCCACTGACAAAGCTGCAGAAATCTATGTGTATTTTGTACCTTCTTTTGCCACGAAATCTCACATACATTCATTACTTATGTAGTTCTTAGGATATCATCACCTCTGTTTTGATGGGAAGAAACCCTGAGAACTCAGGTGATGAGGACACCTTCCCCAGGTCATGGATTCAGGCAGGACAGAACCCACAGCTGCACGCCTCCCGAGACCAGCTCTCTCCCCTTGGGAGGCTGTTTACCTCCTAATGCCCGTTTTGTAAAAACCAAAGTGGATATATTGTTTATTTGTTGCAAAAAAAAAAAAAAAAAACTATACTGGAGCAACAATAATGAAAGTGAGAAGCAAGAGGAAATATGTTCCTTTCCCTATCACCTAACATAACAGCCTTTTTTACTTCTCCGTGTTCCATTCCAATTCCTATTCACATACGCTAACTTTTTCCATGGGGCTCCAGCAGCACACAGATACAAGATACATTTGTTTTTCCTTTAGTTATTATATTCTAAGAGCTTTGCTTATATACTACATGGATCTTACCATCACTGTCTTTTATAGCTACAGAATAACCCATCAGGTAATCACACTAACTACTTTCCAATTGTTACACACATGCATTGGTCCAAGTTCTACTAGGGTAAATACTGTTACAATAAACATCTTTGTGCAAATGACTCCAGTCCTGCTCATCTCATATTTTCTTAGGATCAACTTCCAGGAGTGGGATTATGTGTAATGGGGCACGAGCAAGTTAATGATTCTGTGAGCAGAATGAGGAAGTGTAGGGTGGGGGAGGTACTAGAGATGGAGTACAATATAGACGTGGTCCAGAACTTTTGGAGAACCTCTGCATTATTCAGGTGGCTGAGAAAGGTACGAGTTTCAGTTTGGAACTCAGGTGTGAGCTTCCGGGTAGATAAACTCAGTGTTTTCTTTCTAATTAATTACCTAGCAACAAAGATTCTCCACAAACACAATAATTGCTCTGAAATAGAGGTGGACAATATTTTTTCAGTGTGACTCAGAGCAAATCTTAAGGGACAGCTTCAGATTGCCTCTATTACAGTCTGCCATTTGGTCAGAGAAGGAAATTAAACAGATTAGTCAAGCTAGATGCTCTTCTTTACAAAGCCATGGAGGTTATTACTCAAGGCCTTGTTATCTCAAAGGTGTTTGCAAATTGATTTTTGGATAATTTGTTCCAGGTAGAGAAGTTAAGTTGGCAGGCAGATTATTTCTGGGCTCATCCTTTGTGCATTTTAAATATACAGAGCCTTTGATCACCATTATCAACTCTCCAGAGTTCCCATCAGTCTCCGATGAGGCCCCAAGGGTGGTATTTGTAGCTCTCTGATGACCCTGCCCGATTCCTTAATCTAATTATTCACAGACTGGCCCTGGACAGAATTTAGAGCAGCTGACTTCAAGGCTTTGGGGCTGGAGCAAGGGGCCACATTAAACTCTCTTCCATCAACTTTCCACCACGGTTTTTGTTCTCCTGTTTCAAGCATTAGCAGTCAATTGCTGACCACCAGAAAGAAAATAAAGTATTCGTCTTTCCAAATGTTGAGTCTCTTTTTGGGTATTTCTGATGGTCGGTACAAATATAGTTGCAAATGTTCCCACAAGTATATAAATGTCTCCATCTCAGATGACTTACTGGTTCACATGTCCACATGCACATGAGCCAATGCAGCCATCTCTCCCTCTGACCCCTCAAAAATATATATCAAGAGAACATCAGTATTTTCTGTACCTGGCACCAAAAAGCTATGAGATTATTGTTTTGGCTTTTCTTCTCTTTTTTTTTTTTCTGTATTCCATTGATTATCATTGACATTCTTTAGAAGGCACATGTACTAGTGGCTCAAAGAGACAGAAGCTGGGGTAAGACACACAGTTTTGGGGTTTTTCTGTTTTTGTTTTTGTTTTTCGGTAGGCACCACCTTTTTATAAAATGCACAGAGAGACCATGTCGATTTGTGTCAGCTCTCCTCTCTATCTGCGGTGAACTGTCCAACCAGACAGTGCAAGAAACCTATGAAGCCATCAAATGCAACCACCAGAGTCATTAGAAAGGAAACTGAGGCCCGAGGAGGGCTCATGACCTGTACAGCCAGAGGAAGGTGGGGGTGGGACATTAGAACTCAGGGCTCAGACGGCATCGCTACCCACCCTTTCTACACTTGGACTTGAGATATTCCAGGGATTAACTGGAAGGATCATTAAAGGAGCTTGACACCAGTAGTTTAGTGCTTTTGGGGATGCATGGGTCCTTATGAAAACCTGGTGACATATTCTAGACTCTCTTCCCAGGAAAATGCACATAAGCACATTCCCTAGAGTTTTGTGCAGCATTTCAGGAACCCACAAACCCTTGTAAAGCCCATGCATGATGCCCTGAGGAGTCTATGTTGAAAATAAAGGAAGACAGACCACATGCCCATAGTAGCTTACACTTCTCTGGAATCCACCCTTTGCTGTAGGGGCGGGAGGTCGGGAGTACAATCAGGTAAGCAGATGGAACTTGATGTAGAGGTCACAGGTCTGGTACTTCCCGGCTCCCAGGTTCCCAAACATTTGGGTGAAAATGAACATAAAAGGATTTCCATAGGACAACTCCAAGTCAATGCCTAGCTTCCGATGACCGTGACTCACTAAATACATTCACAGATTTAATATTTGGGATAAAATAGTTAAAGGATACAGACAACACCCTGCCCATGAAATGCTACAATCTAAGTAGAAATCTTCCGCAGAGGATGTCTTAGTAGCCTGGGTCAACAGTACAAAACACCACAGGCTGGACGGACTAAATAATAGACATTTCTCATAGTTCTGGAGGAAAGAAAGAGCTCTCCAGTCTCTTCCTCTTCGTATGAGGACATTCATCTATTACCTACTCACCTTCCAAAGGTACCAGCTCCTAATACAATCACATGGCGGGGCTGTTGGGGGTGGGGGCGTTGGTTAGAACTTCAACAGATCAATTGGGGGGAAGGAAGGGACACCAACATTCCATCCTTCGCAGTGATCATGTTTTCAAATCCACGCCTCTCTTCATAAAGGACTCTGTCCAATTGCTGGGGCCTTGAGATGAGCATTCTGGCAGAGAGCAACTCCCTGTGAAGGAAATCCTATCTGGTGTGTACTCTGTGCTGCTCATGTGCTGGAGTGCAGAGTGTGGAACTTAGCGGTGAAAAAATATATAGACCGTTTGTACCTATGGAATCAGAGGGTAAGGCAGCCAATTAGAGCAGCAATGACAATAAAGTGCAACGAGGGTCACGACAGAGGTGACAGAGACCAGGTATGAGGCCTGTAAAGGAACCTGATCTAGTCTACAGGCTAGGAAAGCTCTTCTAGAGAATGCTTAAGTATGACCTGTGGGCCCAGGAATTCATCTACATCTGTGGGCAAAGAGATTGTCCTGAGGATCCTGTAGTTCTGATTTGCTTGGGAAAGTGCACAGGGCCAGAATAGGAAACAAGGAAAACTAAGTGTCTGAACATTTGCTCATTCATTCATTATACAAACATGGAGTACCTGCTATATGTCATTCTTCCCTAGGCACTGCAGATACAGCAGTGAACAAAACAGACACAGTGTTGGTTGCCAGGAACTCAAATTCTAGCTTTCACTTTGAGGGCACCTCTGTCTCTCACTTCACTGAGAGACAGATGTGTAAGGGGGAAACTAAGTTGATTCCAAAGCTGCTGAAGATAAGGAAATCAGAGAACAAGCCAGGCCTAGGGGGGGCACCTATGAATCAACCAACTGATGCATAGCCATGCAACAGAATATTACGCAACAAGGAAAAAGGACCAAACTACTCATACATGACATGGGTGGAGATCAAAAGAAAATTATAGTATATAAAAAGAAGAATGGATGGTTCCATTCACACGAAAAGTTCAAGATCAAGCAAAGTTGATCTATGGCGATAAAAGTTGTAATTACAGTTACTTATGGGAACAGGTACTAAGTTGAGGCATGAGAGAACTCTCTAGGGTATTGGAATATACTACATAATGATTTGGGTGATAAAATATTAATAATAATCAGAAAAGTGTTACCTCTGGTGGAGTGACTGCCTGGACAGGGGTGTGCGAAAAGCGTTTGTGGTGTTAAAAATTTCTGTATCTTGATTAGAGTTGTGTAAGACTTCTCAAACCGTACATTTAAAATAGAGGTATTTTGCTTTGTGTAAATGACACCTAAAAAAAGACTAAGGAGAAGAAACACACAAAAGGATGACCTAGCAGGTAGGAAAGATGCCACTACACCTTACTGGGAACTAAACTGCAGAGTATTTGGGAAAATGAGCCTTTAA